CTTTCATTACGCCAATAGGTTTTGCACCCAATGACTCGCATAACTACTAGACTTCTTGGTCCGTGTTTCAAGACGGGACAGATAGGTGGTCGACTTGAACAACGCCGAAAGCAAGCCCATAGCACAGCGCACACTCACCTGCAGAACACCAAAGCGCAGCATAAGCAACTACATCCATGGTGAACTACAAGCAAACACACGCCATGCACAAAGGCAAGGCTTGGAGAGCTACCTAAGCGCAGCATCAACATCACCGCAGGACTGGTGACCACCCGAGGGTGGGCCACGAACCCACGGCTCCGAAGGAGCACTCAGATATCTCGGCGTATACCACTGATGAAACCGCGCCAGTGAACCACAACACTACCCACCCGGCCACCGAATTAACGGCTCGCACTGAGTAAGCATGCAGAACACTAACACTGAATACCAGCGGACTCGTCAACGCTATCTGCTTCGCCACTGCCAGTTTCACGTCCTCTTGAACTCTCTCTTCAAAGTTCTTTGCAATTTTCCCTCACGGTACTTGTTCGCTATCGGTCTTGTGGTCGTATTTAGCCTTGGAAGTGGTATAACTCCCAATTCGAGCTGCACTTCCAAGCAACTCTACTCTCAGACAATCCCAACCGACGAAGCCGCAATCCGAACGGGCCTAACACCCTCACTGGGAAGTTGCCTTCCAGCGAACTTCAGACATTGGCAACGCCGGCAAGTCATGCCTATACGCGACACCGCGCCACACGTACAACGTGGGAGCTTACGCGCTGGGCTTTTCCGTGTTCACTCGCCGTTACTGACGGAATCCTTGTTAGTTTCTTTTCCTCCGCTTACTGATATGCTTAAGTTCAGCGGGTAGTCACGCTTGAGTTCAAGTTGCAATGATTCGAAACCCCGATTGCAGGCATAACCCGCTCGCCACAACCATACCGCCAAAGTCTGCACTTTAGCGCACTCCGCTCGCGCCCCGAAAGGTCTGAGTGGTGCACACAAAAGTATCACGCGCAGTCTTACGGCAGCAAGCTGTTGACAGCCCGATTGTTCCCCGAAGGGAAGTCCTCTGGCTATCGCGGCAAGCGACCCACAAAAGGTTCTCGGCGTCGAAAGGCCTCGCGGCCTCCCGACATGTTGCTTCTTACCGTTTGCTAGCAACGGATACTCGCACCAAGGCACCCGAAGGCACCTAAAGCAAGCATGCGTCGCGACTTGGTCTCAGTCAGGCATAACCGAGTAACCAGTAGGTAGATTCGCAACCTTGAACCAAACGTACCGTCGAGTATTACCCCGACGGTGCAATGTGCATTCGACAATTTCACGCTCAATGTACTTACAATTCGCGTTACTTATCGCAGCTAGCTGCGGTCTTCTTCGATCCACAAACCAAATGATCCACTGGCAATGGTTGTAAAGAGTGCACGCAAGGCAGTTACGCCAAGCATACGGTTTCATTTGAGCTGATGAGTAAAGGAAAGGGGTTGATGGCTGTGCAATTGTCGCGCACTATTTAAACCTCGTCATCCACTTTTCAGTGGGCTGCTGAGCTGGCTACTCCACGCACCGCCAAACGAATGCGCTTCACCAAACTCTACGTACCATCAAAATTGGCTAGTGTGTATCATCGTTACAAGGTATCGTTCGATAATCAAGAGGCGATATGCGTTTGCATAACTCCAATGATCCGCGGTCAGGTTCTCCTAATCGCACCTTGTTACGACTTTTGCCCGGTTCAAGCCACTGCGATTACAGCGGTTTCCAATACCGTAGAGTCGTTAAACCCCACAGCGTCGGTCCCCGCAATTCTCGAAGCAACTCAGTCCCGGGCAGCGACGGGCGGTGTGTACAAAGGGCAGGGACGTAATCAATTTGAGCTGATGACTCAAGTTTACTGGGAATTCCTCGTTCACGGGCAATAATTTCAATGCCCGATCCCAATCATGGTAAGTTTTCAATAGTTTACCCAGACCTTTCGGTCAAGGAAACGCGCGCTGATCTTACCAGTGTAGCGCGCGTGCGGCCCCGGACATCGAAGGGCATCACAGACCTGTTATTGCCGCTTGTCGTGTGGCTTAGAGCCACTTATCCCACTAGGAAGTTCAACTGACGAAAGTATCAGAGAACTATCTAGAGGTTGCGGTCTCGTTCGTTATCGCAATAAAGCAGACAAATCAATCCACGAACTAAGAACGGCCATGCACCACCAACCACCGAATCAAGAAAAAACTCTCAATCTGTCAATCATAACAGTGTCCGGGCCGGGTGAGATTTCCCGTGTTGAGTCAAATTAAGCCGCAGGCTCCACTCCTGGTGGTGCCCTTCCGNCAAAGGATCCAATAATCTCAACAGATCTCAGTATAACAACCATATAGACAATTAATGTATCAGTGAAATTGAAAGAGTATATCATCGTCGTGAAAAAAACAAAGGATCCAATAATCTCAACAGATCTCAGTATAACAACCATATAGACAATTAATGTATCAGTGAAATTGAAAGAGTATATCAT